TGCTGCTGCTTCACAGGTAAAGTCCAGAGAATCCAACTCCTCTCCTCCATGAACATCCGTCCCTCTGAAATGAAGGCCACAAAAGCATGAAGCTGCTTTTCTGTTTTTGTCTCTGTATCTTCAGAGTCCAGAGGTCAGGTCACAGTGACTCAGCCTGGAGCAGTGAGCTCTGCTGTGGGGGGCTCCGTCTCCATCCCATGTAAAACCAGTCAGGATGTGCATGTTAAGAGCGGCTACTACCTTTTACACTGGTACCAACAGAGAGATGGAGAAACTCCTAAACTCCTCATAAACTGTGCCAGCTACAGAGAATCAGGGACTCCAAGTCGTTTTACAGGCGGTGGATCAAACTCTGACTTCACTCTGACCATCAGTGGAGTTCAGGCTGAAGATGATGCAGTTTACTACTGTAAGAGTTACCACAGCGGTGGTGTGTTCACACAGTGAAAAACAGTCGTACAAAAACCTCCCCTCAGTCAGACTGAACTGAAACTGAACCGACAGCTGAAGACTGACACAGTTCACTGGACACACACACACACATCCAGAGCCTCACACAGATTTTTATAAGTATAGGATGTATGGAATAAATGCAAAACATGAAACTGTAATCTGAGACCTTTGAATGTACGCTCGACTCTGTGTCTGCATATGTGTCCTGCCTCTCTATGGGGTTATATTAACACATCTGCAGATGTATTAGAGTACAGATGTGCTATATTACTGTACAGATGGTCAGTATACAAGTGGATTATAAAGATGTATACAGATGCATTCTATATGTACAAATTAAGAAATGGCAGATATGCACTTGAAGTACAAGCACTCCCACTTCAGCATCAGCATAAATAATGCAGTTTCAACTATGCACAGGTAAGAAATGTGGATTTAAACAGATCAGTATGACATACTTCATCAATAGATGGCTGAAGGAAAAATCCCTGAGCTGTTTGAGGAGCTGTGTATCACCTTGGTCAGTGTTTCTCGGTGTTCTTTAGGTTTCACACGATTTGACCCAGGACAAAAAGGTTTTGTTTGGCTATATTTGAAATTATATAGCTTTTTCTACTATCCATTTTCTTGAGACCACATGAACAAAAGCTGGATGAATTTAATGGGCTTTTTTTGTCCCTTTCTAATATTGAAAAAAGACACCTTCTTACAATTTGTAAATGCAACTCTTTAGTTGCCTTTAACATAAAATAAAAAGACTAAATATTATCCCTTACATCTGTGACTATGATACAGCATGCATTTTTTGGGGAGTAGGAAAGTACAGACATAACATTTGTGGTTTTAAGGTGAAGTCATGAGCTTTTGCTCACATCTGTAAAACACCAATGAATAAACTGGACATCAAACATCCCACGGTTGCTAAGGGTCCTTCTCAGTAGCATCCTTTAGATTACATCATCA